AGCCGAAGAAGAAGCCGAAGAAGAAGCCGAAGAAGAAGAAGAGAAGGAGGAGGGGGGAGGAGGAGGAGGAGATTGGATTTATACCCTGCCCGTCACTCGGAGTCTCAGCACGGCTTACAAACTCCTTTCCCTCCCCCATCTGACAGAAACGGCTCTTTTTCAAGAACAGCTCTTATCAGAACTACGGCTTGCCCAAGGTCATCCAGCCGGGTGCAAGTGGAGGAGTGGGGAATCAAACCCGGTTCTCCCAGTTTAGAGTCCGCGCACTTAACCACTACACCACTACACCAAGCTGGATGTGAATTTGAATGAGAAGAGATTGGATCTATACCCCTCCCCTCACCACCCGAAGGAGTCTCAGAGCGGCTTACAAACTCCCTTCCCTTCCCCTCCCCACAACAGACACCCTGTGAGGCAGGTGGGGCTGAGAGAGCTCTGACAGAAACTGCCCATGAGATAACAGCTCTTATCAGAACTACGGCTTGACCAAGGTCCTCCACCAGCTGCAAGTGGAGGAGTGGGGAATCAAACCTGGTTCTCCCAGGTTAGAGTCCGCGGACTTCACCACCACACCAAAAGCCCCAATAAATGTATTCAATCATATGCAAGTCTAGGTTTTTTCCCAAAAGTTGAGACGGACGGACTCCATCCAGGAAGCCGCAAAGGCCCGCAGTTTGCAAGGCCTGAGCAATGAGAGGACATTTTGGAGGACATCAGTTGCCATCAGCTGGGAGCACCTTGATAGCGTGCACGCAGAGATGCAAATTGCCTGGGCCAGGTTGCCAGAGGTCAGACGGAAAAACGTCTGGCGGTGCTGGGGGGGGGTTTCTTTGCCCCTCCCCCAGGCGTAGCAGAAGCCCCATGAATTATGCAGGCGAGGAGGGCGTCCAAAGACACTCAATCTGTATAATTCATACAGACCACAGGATCGCGGGAGAGGGATCTCCTCGACTCGGAATTCCGCACGCTCCGCCTGCTATCTAGTTCACGGTCCTCCGACTCTCTGCTGACACCCGGCACGGGAGCAGAGGGCAGCCCGACACGCATGTTGGGAAGGTCACGAGTGAGGCTCTGATGGGGGCGCCCGAGCAGGACAGAGGCCAATTCCCCCCCCCAAAAAAAACCCCTCCAAGAACAATTCCAGTGCTCACCTGTGCGGACAAGAAGGTCGCAAACCACTCCCTTTGCTCCTGCTGAGTCTCGCAGCAGAGGTACCTGCAGGGGAAGGGGAAAGGGTGGGAAAGCGTCACGCTCAGGCTTAACGTTCGTTTCCTTAAGTGGTGCTTCTGCTTCCCTGCGCTTGTCATGTTGCATTCCTGGCGTGTGTGTGTGTTGCAGGAGCGCACGGGACTCGCAGCTATAATCAGGGCTATTTTGGGGCAGGAACGCACAGGAACAGAGTTCCGGCTGGCTCCCGAGTTGGCCACGCCCAGCAGGAACTCATTAGCATAACAGGCCACACCCAACAGCAGAAACTCATTTGGATTGGCTACATTAGGGGTGTGTTAGGGGTGCGTGGCCTAACATGCAAAGGAGTTCCGGCTACAAAAAAAGGCCCTGGGTTTTGACAACAAAGAAGGTAAACAGAATAAGAAGCAAAAGGTGGGTGTGGCTGGATGAGCACACTTCTGGTAACATGGGGGTGCGGCCTCATAGGCGAATGAGCTGTGATGTCAGGGGTGTGGCCTATTATGCTAATGAGTTCCTGCTGTTGGGTGTGGCCTATTATGCTAATGAGTTCCTCCTGGGCTTTTTCTACAAAAAAAGCCCTGGCTATAATTAATCTTTAACCTGTGCCCCGAGTGTTGGAGGATCTTTGTGCCTCGCCTAGCTTAGATAGTAAAGGTTGCCCCTTGCTCGGAAGCCAGTCGAATCCGACTCTAGGGGCGTGGTGTTCATCTGATTCTACCAGGAGGTGAGCTGGCCCTGGCAAGACGACCAGACGAACTGAAGAACGGGTTATGAAAGGACGACAGTACTATCCGGAACTTAAGCTGATGGGTTATGCTGGTTAATGGAACCCCATCTTGGACTGATAAGAGCTTAATATCTAGAGCACCGGCACTTTGTTTGGGATCGATTCTTTTATTCTCTTTTTAGTGGTTGAATTATGGCATATGCCTCTTCTGTTAGCCGCCCTGAGCCCGTTGGGGGAGGGCGGGATAGAAATTTAATAAATAAATTAATAAATAATAAATAAATCTCCGTTTCCAAGCCGAAGAGCTAGCGCTGTCCGAAGACGTTTCCGTGGTCACGTGGCCAGCATGACTAGACGCCGAGGCACACGGAACGCTGTTACCATCCCACCGAAGCGGTACCTATTTATCTACTTGCAGTTTCTTGCTTTCAAACTGCTAGGTTGGCAGGTTGTGAACTCCTGGTATTAAAGTTGTGAGCGACCGATTTGGCTGCTGCATCAATTAGTTTGCTCTGGAGCCCTCCTTCCTGAGCTAAGGCAAAAATCTGTGAGCTGGAGGCTAAAAAACTGTGAGCTAGCTCACACTCACTCAGCTTAGAGGTGACGTGTGTGAATGTGGAATGTTATGCTTTTACCGATAACCTGCAAGTTCCCGCGGTTTTCTTCAGCCCTAACAAAAGTTCTTGTACCAATAGCAGCATATTTCTAATAAAGCATTACACTGGCAATAGTGTGCATGGAGAGAGACTTAGCTGGGGACCTGACAGGAAGCAACGCCAAGGAACACAAAGGCAGTATCACCCCCCACCGATGAACCATCAACTCCCCCCCAAATCTGGTATCTGACAGATGGAGCTTGACCCGCAAAAGCTCCTAGGTAAAGGGAAAGGTTTCCTGTTCGAAAGCCAGTCGACGCTAGCGTTGCGGTGCTCATCTCTATTTCCAAGCCGAAGAGCCAGCGCTGTCCGAAGATGTTTCCATGGTCATGTGGCCGGGCATGACCAGACGCCAAGGTGCATGGAACGCTGTTACATTCCCAGTGAAGCGGTACCTATTTATCTACTCGCAATTTCTCGCTTTCGAACTGCTAGGTTGGCAGGAGCTGGAACTAGAGACGGGAGCTCACTCCGTCCTGCGGCACTCGGGTCTCGATCTGCCAAACTACCGACCTTCCAGTCTGCAGCTCAGCGTCTTAACGACTTGAGCCACCGCAGCCCTTCAAAAGCTCCTACCCCCTCCCAAAATCTTGCAGTTCTCCCAGGCGCTATTGGACTCAAATCGAGTCTGCCTACTGCAGAGCGAGACGGCCGCCCTCCGAATTCCCAGTCAGTGTGTTAAGTCGAAAGCCATCTCGAGTGGAAATCCCCCGGCCGGCCACATAACATGACAAGACACGGCGCGTTTACGGGGCTCCGCTCGGCTCTCTCACTCCCCATCAGTGCCGCTCGGTCGGTCATGGCGTCGTTGGCAGGGACGGAACCGACAGGAACTTGCCAGGGAGCCAGAAGAGGGGGGGGCAGAACCAGCCACGGTCACTCCCCGACCTCGAGCCCCGGAGCCAAGACTTCGGCCGGGGGCAGGGCAGGAGCCGCCCAGCCACATGACCCAGATGTGGCGCTGAGGCCAAAGCGTCTGCCCACCAAAGGACCAGATTCTCAGGATTCAACATAAGAACAGAAGAGAAGCCAATGTCGGATCAGGCCAAGGGCCCATCCAATCCAAACACTCTGTGTCACACAGGGGCCAGAAATACCAGGGGCCATCAGGAGGTCCGGCAGTGGGGCCAGGAGGACACTAGGAGCCCTCCCACTGTTGGGGTCTGGGAGAAAATGGGGTGGAGAAAGTGGATAGTAAGAACTTTTCTCCCTCCCCCATCGCGGCAGTGCTCAGGTGCACCCAGTGAAACTGGTGGGTGGTGGGGCTTCAGGAAGGACCCCTTCGCACAAGGCATAGTCAACTCCCAGAATTCACTGCCGCAAGACGTCGCGGTGGATGCTAGTTTAAAAGAGGGCCAATAAGCCCATTCCTGAAGGACACACCCATCCGTGTGACGGCTGTCCTTAAGG